TCTTGTTTTCTCAAATAATGGGAAACAAGGAGATTGCAATTCTTATCTAAAACATAAGATCGAAGAAAAATTTTAAAGTTTACGTAATCGAAGGAAGCGTCTTCCGTCAATCACGACCAACACCAAGTAAAAAAATCAGAAGTAAAATAGAAGAAAACTAGCTAGAAAAACTGGAAAGTATTTAAATCACAACAATAGAGCTCAAAAGTGCGATAAGTGATCAGAGTCAACGGGTGATAGCAGCTGACGAATTATGAAATAAGGACTGTCGATTTCCAGCTTTGTGATAGATAAGATAACTCCACCTGCCATCCCTCAGGCAGCATCCAAATGGAAGAGTCGCGTCGCGTCGCCCCGACCTCCCACACTGGTTTTTAATTCAGAAGAAAGGCAGCTGATACTCTACTATATCACACTATATTTTAAAAAAGATTTTTGAATGGAACCATATTGATTTGTTACATAAATTACTTTTCATATTTTCATAAAAATTCTTCATTGCGATTTGAAAACATTAAATAAAACAATTAATTTCTTAAAAAGAATATGTAAATGTAGAAAATGTTTTATTTCTAGAACAAAAGTTTCTTCAGTGAAACCTGTTGCGATTGTAAAAAAAAACTTTAGACACTGACTGTATAAGTAAATTAATAATTTTCTCCCGATGCAATTTTTCATCGTTCATAATTCCTGTCGTTCTCCCTTAGGTCTTGCTTATCGACAAAAATTTATCTGGCACACTCGCTATGAAATTTTTTTCATGCATCAGAAGTAATCGCTGGTCCTTAAGTGTCTCCGCCTGAGGTAAGACCCGCACTGATGTACATACTCGTTCCATAGCAAGATGCAAGTAATTATCGACATCTGCTAAAGGACATTGAACCGATGTAAAGGATATCGCTCTTTCAAAAATCCTAAGGCATGCAGAGAACTAATCCATGATCGGGAATTCCGATAGTATGAAAGGCATCTGATAACTGCAGAAAAAAAATATAATTGATCCCTGATGATGTAACGTTGATTTATCTCTTTAGTAACAAAAAAATCATTCACTATTTTCTAAATTTTATTTTTATAAAAAATGTTTCCGTACTAACTAAAAAAATTATAATACCAAAATTAAATTCTTAAAGATTTATTTAATGTTGCATAATAATTAATAATTTACACCAACTTAGATTTAAAATAATTTAAAGTCAATTGACTATAAAAATTTTAAAAATCCATGTAATGTTGCAGGATTAATGCATCCTTATAAGTAAAGAATTATTAAAATACAATAAATTTATAAATTCCATGTGATTCGATATTCCTAAAATAATAATATCGAAAGCACTGATTTCAAACTGACATAAATCGCTTTATGAAGTATTCAATATCATAAAGAGAATTTCAATGTAGCATATTTTAATATAAAAGAAACATTTTTTTAAAAATAAAATTAGTATTTTCCTGAAAGGAAATATTTCTTTTAATATCAAGGATAACATCAAAGAAATTTGTTTGAATTAAAACTTGCTTTTTCTACATACACACGTTTTATAAATAAAAAGCTCTGCATCAAAAGTTATAAGGACGCAATACAAAATCCTTTCTTTCATTTATAAATGAACAACATATGCATTTATAAACAAAGAGTGTTTTTCATTTGTGCATAAAAAATTTCTCCCAATCTCAAAAGATCCTTTCATGTGGAAAATTACAAAAAATTGTGCTGCTATTACTAAACAAGTATAGCAATACTTAATTTGATGGCATAATTTTCAATTTATATAAATATTTTTTAATTGCATGTTTATATAAATAATGTTAAACAATCTGAAATCTGATTTTCGAAATTCAAAATGGCGGATCCAATATGGCGGACATTTTTTTCAAAATTGATCAAATTCGCTTGAAATTTGTTACTCGGGGGTTTTCGGGGTCGCTGATTACGAATCTGAAATCTGATTTTCGAAATTCAAAATGGCGGATCCAATATGGCGGACATTTTTTTGAAATTGATCAAATTCGCTTGAAACTTGTTACTCGGGGGTTTTTGGGGTCGCTGATTACGAATATAACATCAGATTTTGAAAAAACAAAATGTAGGATCCAATATGTCGGACATTTTTTTCAAAATTTCAATTTGAAATATGAGGAATCAAAAAATGGAACGAGATCAATTGCAAAATTAAAATTGCAAAATGTATTGCATTTGAAGAATGTATTCTAAGAAAACTTTTGAATATACTTTAAGTACAACTCTAAAATTTAAACATGTGCAAATCAGTAATTGAAAAAAACGCCCTTCTAAGAAAGTTAAATCAGTAAATTAAAAAGAATGTCCTCGCCATGTGTTCAAGGCAGTAAGAGAGCACTATATAGTGTCAATTATTGGTGGCCTCTGGTCATCGTCAGTGGAATCAACGGTATCGGTAGTATCGTCATTGACCAACCTGTCATTATTGGTAATAACGGCTCAAGTCAGTTGAGCCTAGGGACATGGTGAGTTCGTGGGAACAACTCGTTCGCGCACGCAACGATCACGAAACTCTTAAATGATTCGCGCAGATGTCACTTTTGCCATTTTCAATGTCAGAATTCCAAAGTATTACTCTTGAAATGCATTCTTGTTAGCCTCAGGCTGACACTTTTATCTGAAGCTTCATGCAAAAAATATAACTACTAAATGCGCACTTTTGCCAATATTTCCTTTGACTGTCAAACAATGAAATATTTTAAATAAAAAAAAAGTGTCTTTTGGGAATTCAGAGTCGAAAATATATCTCAGATTTAAATTTTAGAATACTTCTAAAATATCTACCTGTCATGTGTGTTTGAATGAAAGAAACAACGAAACTTGATATAAGCAATCTTTTGACAATCCTCGATGTAGAACATTTTATTGAGATTAAATAATACACAAACAATAAAACAAATTTTAAAAATAATCTCTCAAATCATGTAATTGAATTTAATATTATATGAAATTTTTGAAAATGCAAAGAAAATAAATAAAATAATTGTATAAGCATAAAGAAGGAGGTATAAGCTCGTATGTAGAAGACTTTCTACAAAAATAAGAATTTCAAAGAGTTGTAAATTTATTTAGCATACGATACATATGCATATTTTTACGATATGACGCACTTGGCTTGAAAAAAGAGCATAAATGCTAATGATGTTTCTCGTGAACAGTGTTTTGCAATTTTTCCCTTTGTTTTTTTTATAGTATGAGTGGCTTTTCCGTTTTAAAAATTAAGACCAATTCACTTTTAACGATTTTATTGATTTTATAATAAAGTAGTTTTAAAAAATGGGATACTATTTTTTAAATTTTCTTGTAGGAAAATAATATTCTTTACTTTCTGCATACTTATGAAGGTAATTGAAAATTGGTTGGCAATATTTTTCTTCGGTATTCAATAAAATTTAAAGAAATTATCAAAGATAAAAAAAGAAAATCTTAAGGGTTTCTTTTCTAAAAAATGATAAACTTAAATTTACTAGTTTGATGAGATCTAATCATACGCCACAGTTTATATTAAAAAAAATGTTTTATGAATAATGTTTATGTTTTTATTAAATTCAATGGAAATAATGTTTCGAATTCAAGTGTCAATTATTGATTAAAATAATAATTCGTGCAATTTTTTTTTCGCCGTATGAGCTCGCGCGTTGTAAAAGAATTTACGGCGAAACTTCATCTTTATAATTCTTCGTAGCTGGTAATAAACGCGAATGCGCATTGAAGAGAAGCAACGACAAACAATAAAGGGACGTGGGAGGAAAGAGTGAGGCAGAAAGTAGCGCCACTGGAATTTACCAATGTCGTAAAAAAGATGCAATAAAAACAACTATAAAGAGCAGCAATTCTAGACAAGATTGTTTGCGACGCGTGTAATTCACTTATGCAGGATAGTAAACTAAAGTCCTCGGTTTTGACTTTTTCCAAGCTATAGATAGTCCGAGATTCCAACGAATTACAAAATGGCTTAACCAAACGATTCTCTCCTCTCAAAATCCCTTGTTTTTCCAACCAATTAAATACAACTGTAATTAAATTTACAGCTGTAAATGCTAAAGCAAATTACAAGTTGTCCCAAATCTATTCAAGTGATTGAAACGCTCTTAAAAGTGCGGCTTTAAACCAAGCAAAGGGAATAAAATTTGAATACAATATAGAACTGTTTGTTGAAATGACCAATAAGATGTAAAATAAATGAATTAATTGAGCCTTGGAGAAATTTTAATTTTTTAAATAATAACAAACACTGATTTCAAGTCTATATTAAATGACAATAGGAATTTTCGAGAAAGAACTATAATTTCAACCCAGGCATTGTAAACAAAAATTGCCACAATAATCTAAATGCGATTTTGTTACTTTGTTCAATTTCCATGTAGATTCGAAATCAAAATGCATCGATTCCAACCCCTCTTTACTAAAGAATTCTAAAGCCGTATTCCTATTTTATAGCAAAACTGTTCCAACTTGAAAAAATACTGCATGGATTTGAAGAGTGACTTTGATTACAAAGCTCATAAAACTACTTGAAAATAAATGCTATATCTCAACAAATGCAAAGAAATTCCTTAACTGTTGGACAAACAAATTTGTTACATTAATTTAATGTCTACTCCAAATTTCTTATATCTTTTCGTTTTAGAAGTCAATATCTGCATCCTTATCAATAATTTATTTTAGATCGAATACATTTTAATACATCTTGTGACAAAATTTTTTACCAACACTTTAAATAAATACAAAAATATCCTAAAGATCCCTGAGATCTAATTTACTTATTTCCTCTCTAAAAAAATTTTTAAAATACGCTATTTTTGATTAGATTCAGTTGAAAAAATATTTGCAGAACTTTGGAAGCTCATAAATATTTATACTCGAATTTAATATTTTCAAATAAATGTTTCGCAGTCATAAATTTTCTCTTTTTATCTAAACTTAATGTACCGCTAACATGAAAATTGATTATTGACTAAATATAAAATACAGACATACGTTTACAATTGATAAACATATGAAAACACCACGTAATCTTGTATCCACTCTGTGCCACGTCGCATAAGGTTTTAAGCGAATACTACAGATTGAATTGTGCCTTCTTGTCAATTTTTCGAAAATTACTTAAATAAATTGGAAATCAAAAAAGTAAGTACATATTAACGTTAAGTATATATCGATTATAATAATTAAATTATTATTTTATTTCATCAACACACTATTAACACACATCACAACACATACCATTATACAAGTGTTTTTCTTAAACTAACATCATATTCGTAATCAGCGCCCCTAAAAACTCCCGAGTAACAATTTTTAAGCCAATCCGAATGATTTTTATTTTTTTGATCACCATATTGGATCCGCCATCTTGAATTTTCAAAAACATGACATCAGATTCATAATAAGCGACCCTGACAACCCCCGACTAATCAGTTTTAAACCGATTTGAGCATTTTAAAAAAAAGTCGTCCGCCATATTTGATCCGCCATTTTGAATTTTGAAAAACTGACATCGGACCATAGATCAGCGAACCCAAAAACGTCCGAGTAAAAAGTTTCAGGCGGTTCTGAGCATATTCTATTTTTGGTACTTAAACCCCTTTTAACTCCTCTAAAACCCAATTTTAACACTATATCCTAAGAACAAAGCATATGCTTCACTCAAAATATTTATGATATTAATATTAATCCATATGTCGCATTTTAGAATATGTTTGACTGCAAAATTTGCGGTCAGAAAAATGGATTAAAAAACAGGTGTTTTTAGCATCACTCTTTCTTTTCGAAAAATTTTTGAAAACTCTTTTAAAAGAATGTGTAATGTCAAACTGTTTTTATTATTTTAAGAAATAATAAGGATTTTTAAAAACTCTGCTTGTGTAATTGATAAGTATCAATATTTATATACTATTTTTGTGTTTTTCAGTTAAAGCTGTAATATCGGAATTAATTACCAACGTTTATTAGTAAATTTTTCATTTGAGAAACTATTATAAATAATCAATCATGTTAAGAACTACAATCATTTTCTTACTAATTTCACTACAACATAGTAAAAGTTGTACATTAACTGAAACTGAAGTAACAGAAATAAAACAGTCTTTCAGTAAAGCTGAAGAGTATATGCAAAAGGAAGCATTGAATGAAGATGCAGCAATTGTTATAGGACCAGGAAGAGTAGGAAAAAGTACATTAATTAATTACTTAATAGGCAATAAATTAAGGGGCGTAAGATTCTCGCAATTTGGTGAATTTAAAATAATTAAGGCAGACAATGAATCCAGGGGACCGGAGATTGGTGCTGGACCAACTTCAAAAACTACAATTCCCATAAAATGGAAATCAGCTAAATTGCCTGGTTTGAGCATCTTTGATTGTCCAGGATTTCAAGATAATAGAGGGACAGTACAAGACATTACTAATTCTATTTATATCTATCAGTTGGTAAAGAAAGTTAAAACTTTAAAATTTATATTAGTTTTTAACTTTGCCGACGTAGAACGTGACAATACTGCATCACTTTCAAGATTTTTACTTGATTTGGAAAAATTTTTTGGAAATAAGTTTACTGACTTTTTTCCAAGCATGTCAATAATTTTTTCAAAAACACCGTACAGATCGTTTCAAAACAGAGTTAACATTAAAATGATAAAATACAAATTAAAACAAAAATTATTCTCAACCAATGTAAAATTGTCCAGTGATGCAAAAAAATTCGTAGATTATATAATAAATAATAATAATAGTATTGCATTATTCTGGAAAGCAAAAAATGACAAAAATTTTAGTTCTGACACGGATTTTCAGATGTTTTCGGCTATTACCAACTCGAGCAGTATAGAGAGAATATTTCTTGATAGTATTCGTCCAAGTATTTCAGATAGTTCTTTGATTTGTCTGCAAAGTTCCAAGGACAAATTTGTTTCAATAAATGAAATTTGGGAAATAGAGGAATCTTTATTGCTTATATTTACAGAAAAGTTGTCAACCTGGTCTTATGATGCGTATTATTCAAATAAAAATACAATGATGGTTCACATTCGAAACCACTTTACTGAAATTAAAGTTTTACTGGATGATTCTATTATAAATGGAAGTGATATATACAAAAATATTGAAATTATAAAAAAAATTGATAAACAACTAGAAGAAAAGATTAATGATAGTAATTTGCTAAAAAAAGTTGAAATGTATAACTTTATTTCTTATTTATTACAGTTGGAAGAAAGTAAAATATTGCATCAATCTGTTGAAGCTACAATGCTGACTTTACAAGCTTTACTTAATGCAAAGATTTCTAGAAATCCATGGTTAATAGGCAATGTAACAGAAGACGAACAGGTGAATAATAATGGAGAAGAACAAGAAACTGGGTTCATTTTCAATTTATGGAATAAGGTCAAAAAAGAAATTCTTTCAAGTATGCTCTTTTGATCCAATAATGTAACACACAATGAAGAAATTGTCAATTAATGAAGTATCGCTTTTGTTAGAGAATATCATTATTGTCTCTATGATACTGAGATCAGTTCGATTGCAAAGTATTTTATAAATTTAACTCTAATTTTTATGTTCTCTAATAATTAGTCAGAAATGGGGTGCTGTCGAGTTAAATTGTTAGATCAAGAAAATCAATACAAATAAACAATCATTGATTAGACTTTGCAATTCATTGATTTCGTTGGTGCAACATCTGCGTTCTCAGATGAAGGCCAAGGGCATATGAAGGTTTTCAAAAAATTGTTATTTTTCTTTTCATATACTTTTAAATTGTAAATTTTTAATAACCGGTGATATTTTATTTTTCCTTATATGCTAGGCTGTTTATATCCTATTGAAAATTACCACATGGGATCCTACCTAAGATTCTACGTAGGTTCTTATACAAAAACCCATATTTCTTATCCCTTATTGAACACTTTTTTGGCAATATTAACTAAAGTTAGGATTACATTTTAAGATAAATTAAAATTTTAAAAAACTTACTTGATGGGGTTTTTTTGTAATAAATTAATATTTAGTTGTTTTTCTTTTCCTTTCTGTTTTTAGTGCTTTTGGAGATGCATCTTTTAACCTCTTATTTGCTTGAAACTCGTTACCCATGGACATCCTATTGGATGTCCTTCTTCGAAGTACATATATATAGTTTTGTCTTATTTCAAAAAAATTTAATTAAATTTATTCTGAAATGTGAGGAATACACTCGAAGTAAAGTCGCTCACGCGAGGTCGGGGTAAAGCCGCTCACTTAGTTTTAAATTTAAAATTTAGAATAAAATAATTTCACGTATTATATTTTAACAATAACAAAATTTATGACTTTTTAAAATCAAAATTGTAACTACATTTCACTTTCTCTTAATAAAATATAACATTATTTAAATCCATAGTTGTAATTCATGAAACCTATATTCATTATTTATTAAACCAATTTGTTGTTTATAGAACTTATAGTTCATCAATAATAAATCATTCTCAAGACGGGGAATAAGAAAATTCGGGAACTGTATTAGAAAAAGCTATAACTGATTCAATAGTTTTTTTCATTATTTTCTCATATGAAGTAGTTTTTCTTATTGAAGTTTCTAAATTAGCGGCGAACTTTTTTTTTAACGTATGGAACCTGAAACGGAACCCTGGGGAACTCCTGATTTTATTTATTTTTAAAAAATATTCCCTTCTCTGGAAGGACGCCTATGAAGACCAGAAAGGAGTTGTGTACGCAGCCGGATTAGAAATGTAAGTAAAATTCATTTTTTACGATTTTTCACGAACAAAAACTTTAATCGCCTTTTTCTCGAAACCATGTTTTTTCAACTGGGTGATACTCTCATTTAGAAACTATTGTATTTATTAACACAAAGCAAACGGCATTTTACACTTAAAATATCTCTCCATGGTGTGAACTACAACCAAAAAAATTCATTGTTATTTAAAAAAGTTATAAACAATTAAAAGTGAAAAAAATGTAAAAAAATTAAAAAGTCTGACATTTTGTTTTCTTTGGTGAAAATGTTTTATTTCAGTTCAGACTATAGACAATATGATACAATATGATTCGTTTTCTATTAATCCTGTCACCCACCAACAAAAAGGACATTTTTCAGCAGCCGCCATTAAGAGAAAAAACAATGTTTTTACTTAGTACTTTTTAATACCTTTCAACTGTAAAAACTTTAATTTAAAAATATTTTTTACATTACGAATAAAATATGCTTGAAAAAAAACGTTTTTTGAAGGAACCTGACCATAAAAAAAAATTTACAGAACATTTGAAGCTTATAAATTTTTATACTTGAATTTAATATTTTCAAATAAATGTTTTACTGTCATAAAAATTTTCTTTTTATCTAAACTTTATGTACCGCTGGCATGAAATTTGATTATTTCTTAAATATAAAATACAGAGATACTTTTACAATTGATAAACATATGAAAACGCCACGTAATCTTGTATCTACTCTGTGCCACGTCGCATAAGGTTTTAAGCGAATACTACAGATTGAATTGTGCCTTCTTGTCAATTTTTCAAAAATTACTTCAATAAATTGGAAATTAAAAAAGTAAGTACATATTAACGTTAAATATATATCGATTATAATAATTAAATTATTATTTTATTTCATCAACACACTATTAACACACATCACAACACATAACATTATAAAAGTGTTTTTCTTAAACTAACATCATATTCGTTATCAGCGCCCCTAAAATCCCCCGAGTAACAATTTTTAAGCCAATCCGAATGATTTTTTTTTGTCACCATACTGGATCCGCCATCTTGAATTTTAAAAAACATGACATCAGATTCATAATCAGCGACCCCGACAACCCCCGACTAATAAGTTTTAAACGGATTTGAGCATTTTAAAAGAAAGTCGTCCGCCATATTGGATCCGCCATTTTGAATTTTGAAACAATGACATCGGACCATAGATCAGCGATCCCAAAAATCTCCGAGTAAAAAGTTTCAGGCGATTCTGGGCATATTCTATTTTTGGTACTTAAACCCCTTTTAATAACTCCTCTAAAACCCAATTTTAACACTATATCCTAAGAACAAAGAATATGCTTCACTCAAAATATTTATGATATTAATATTAATTCATATGTCGCATTTTAGAATATGTTTGATTGCAAAATTTGCGGTCAGAAAAATGGATTAAAAAACAGGTGTTTTTAGCATAACTCTTTCTTTTCGAAAAATTTTTGAAAACTCTTTTAAAAGAATGTGTAATGTAAAACTGTTTTTAGTATTTTAAGAAATAATAAGGATTTTTAAAAACTCTGCTTGTGTAATTGATAAGTATCAATATTTATATACTATTTTTGTATTTTTCAGTTAAAGCTGTAATATCAGAAATAATCACCAACGTTATTAGTAAATTTTTTATTTGATAAACTATTATAAATAATCAATCATGTTAAGAACTACAATCATCTTTTTACTAATTTCACTACAACATAGTAAAAGTTGTACATTAACTGAAACTGAAGTAACAGAAATAAAACAATCTTTCAGTAAAGCTGAAGAGTATATGCAAAAGGAAGCATTGAATGAAGATGCAGCAATTGTTATAGGACCAGGAAGAGTAGGAAAAAGTACATTAATTAATTACTTAATAGGCAATAAATTAAGGGGCGTAAGATTCTCGCAATTTGGTGAATTTAAAATAATTAAGGCAGAAAATGAATCCAGGGGACCGGAGATTGGTGCTGGACCAACTTCAAAAACTACAATTCCCATAAAATGGAACTCAACTAAATTGCGTGGTTTGAGCATCTTTGATTGTCCAGGATTTCAAGATAATAGAGGGACAGTACAAGACATTACTAATTCTATTTATATCTATCAGTTGGTAAAGAAAGTTAAAACTTTAAAATTTATATTAGTTTTTAACTTTGCCGACGTAGAACGTGACAATACTGCATCACTCTCAAGATTTTTACTTGATTTGGAAAAATTTTTTGGAAATAAGTTTACTGACTTTTTTCCAAGCATGTCAATAATTTTTTCAAAAACACCGTACAGATCGTTTGACAACAGAGTTAACATTAAAATGATAAAATACAAATTAAAACAAAAATTATTCTCAAGCAATGTAAAATTGTCCAGTGATGCAAAAAAATTCGTAGATTATATAATAAATAATAATAATAGTATTGCATTATTCAGGAAAGCAAAAAATGACAAAATTTTTAGTTCTGACACGGATTTTCAGATGTTTTCGGCTATTACCAACACGAGCAGTATAGAGAGAAGATTTCTTGATAGTATTCGTCCAAGTATTTCAGATAATTCTTTGATTTGTCTGCACAGTTCCAAGAACAAATTAGTTTCATTAACCGAAATTTTTGAATTAGAGGCTTCTTTATTGTTTATATTTACTAAAAGGTTGTCTATCTGGTCTAATGATACCATTAAAGGAAATAAAAATACATTAGTAAACATTCTATACAACTTAACTAAAATTGAATTTTTACTGAATGATTCTATTATAAATGGAAGTGATATATACAAAAATATTGAAACTATCAAAAAAATTGATATACAATTAGAAGAAAAGATTAATGAAAGTAATTTGTTAAAGAAGGTTGAAATGTATAACTTTATTTATTATTTATTACAGTTGAAAGAAAGTAAAATATTGTACCAATCTATTGAAGATACAATGTTGACTTTACAAGCTTTACTTAAAGCAGCTATTTCTAATATTCAATTGTCAATAAGAATGTTAGCAAAAGATGAACTGGTGAATAATAATAGAGAAAAAGAAGAAACTAGGTGGTATGACGATTTACTTAATGCGGTCAATAAAATTTGGGGCCTCTGATTACTAGTTCAAATTAATTAAAATTAAGTGGAATATTTCCGGCATATTGGATCCAACATTTTGAATTTATAGAAATGGACTTTAGGTTCGTAATCAGTATAACCTCGCAAACATTTCAGTATCAAGTTTCAAGAGAATTTGATTAATTTCTAAGCATTTTTGAAAAATTGTCAGCCATATTCGATACGACATTTTAGATTTAAAAAATCTAACCACTGTTTTGCTAACTACTATTTTAGTTTTTGAATCTTCAAGACCACAAATTCGGATTCAATGTTCAAAAAATAATAATTTAATAATGTATGCATGATGTACGTCTATAGACTATAAATAATATAAACAATTTATTTTCAAAAACACTAAACTTTTGGTGAGGGTTAGCAACACTGGTGGTGATTAAATTGTAAGTTGGAATTTTGTATGTTGTATTTCTATCGGTGTTATTGTCTACTTGTGTCACTTTGAAGAATATATTAGTTTGTAATCTTTAAGAATATATTTTTTTCTTAAATAATAAAAAATAAACATTGACTAAAAATCATAAAAGTGTTTAAATTTTCTTTCTCTAACTCTCTTAGTGAAAAAATAAAATTTGAAATTCCTTATTTAATTAACATGGATTTATTAAAATTATGTTTGAAAATGACAACATTCGAATAGAATAAATATTTTTATTAATTCAAATATGACAAGTAATTTTATTTTACGGAACAAAAATAAGAGAACTAGGCACTCACGTCATATATAGAAAGTTTTTCTTTCAAGCTTTTCCAACGTTCATCGGATGTCTATATAAAGTTTACTAGCCGCAGGGCTGATCCCTTTTTTTCTATTTTTTTTTTTGTCGAAGGCTTGTGTCGTCCTGGAAGCTTAAATTGAAGAAAGAGAGGAGAATCGAGGTAAAGAAGAATAAAATAGGGACACGCAGTAGACTGAGCGCGAAACAATTTTACGCTGTTTCAAACGACAGAAGCATATATTCTTCACAGAAGGAAAAATATTGCTCGACAGATCTCTGGAATCCAGTTTGCAATTGAGTTCATTCTTTCTGAAGCTAACGTAGGAATAAAAGGATCATTCAAGGCCACTTCTCACAAATTGGAGATTTTTCACTTTCAAGTTTTTAAATTCTTCAAATTTAATATTGTTCTTTCATCATTTATCCGGAATTGAAAGTAAATCTCAACAAATATAAAGTTCAATAAAAATTAAACCCTACTATTAAACTACTAATAAAACATTTCGATTATAATAACTGTAATTTCTAAAATAATACGCGCCCTTTAGGGAATAAAAGTAATTATTTTACTAATAAATCTCTTTTTCAGTAAAATCGTAACCTTTCACAAATGTTTCAAATATTGGGTGCTAAAACACTGTTTTCCGTTAGAGGGTAGAAAATCATATTTTCGGTCTTGGGTTAAATCTTTAATCCTCGTGAAGGATTAACGATAGATAATATAGACAGAAGGATAATTATTTTCAAAGTCATTACAAGTTAAAACATTGAAAATAATTGAACTGTTTGACAATACTTTTTTTGATGAAATCAACACGGAGCCTCTTACTATATAAAGCTTTTCAACTGCTGAAGAAGTGATTAAAATTAGGTACGAGTGATAAATAATGAAAATTAATAGAATCTTAGTTCCGATTCGTGGAGATCGAAGAGTATAATGCAAAGACTTTGAAGAAGTGAAGACTGATCAATAACCAATTTGAAACTTGCTGATGAGCTCGATATTGCTCCGGCATTTGAGAATAGCGATGTCCAAGCGTCACTTTAAGCATACAAAGCGTTTTAATTAAAAGGGCGCGTTTCCTTTTCAAGTCGTGTTGGTTCAGAGTGGAAGTGCCACTACAAACGTGTTCGAATGCAATCCTGCAAGTAAAGTGGAGGTGGGAGAAGGACGTTTTCAATAAGCATTGATCTCAATAAAGTGGATAGACTACAATCCAGATGGTCGACCTAGTATCGCAGATCCATCTCAGGGTACAGTGATCCTACCAAAGCAAGCTCCTGGCCTGTTTTAGCACCTTCACTCTTATCTTACACTATACCTCACTTGCCAATAATGTTATTGCTCGACCTCTTTCAGCAAGGTTTTTTGAAAGCTTTACTCTTTTTTCTAATATCGTTTTCCACGGGTGACTACGAGTGACCGATAAAATACTTTGTGATAAGAATTAATGAGTTTCTTTTATTGTATCCCATTTCTTATTATAGTATGAATCACATTTCTTACTGCAAAACATTAAATATATATATATACACACAGACGAAGTACTTGAAAGGTTCACGACGAATTTTAGACTGACGATACTGGAAAAAAACTGCTTCAAGACTGCTACAAGACTGATTTGTTCCGCAAAACACTGTGGTTTATGTATCCACAAAAATTCCATTTTTAGAGCAACACCCCATTATTTTAAGAAGATGGTTAAATTTCGTAGAAAAATAAATCGAAGATTCGCAGGCAAGTCTTCAGGTTCAGAGCATTGTATCATGATATAAGAATGGTTGACTCCTCGATTGATTGTAGGAACATGGTAACAAAGCGACACGTATAAGAGTTACATTGATTTTAAGTACAAAGTTTAATGCTTTTGATAATATAAAAATTTCCTTTATTTTAAACATTTCAGTGAAGGAAAATTATTCGTCACGAAATATTTTAATGATGAATGTACACTAAATTTAGCAAAGTGCCGTTGAAACTTTCAATTGGAAACTTTTGTTTTGAAAGTTTCAAATCTTGAAATTTATGATTGATAAAATTTTTCATAAAATTTATAAAATTTGTAAGATTAGTATTTTGGTGAAGTCAAGTCTGAATTATGTTTAGAAGTTAGTTTTTTTTTAATATTATTTAATTATTACAAAAGACTTCATGCAATTATCTTCATAAATAACAAAATTCTTCACAAAAATTCAATCATTTTTAAGAATTTTAATAAAATTCTTTACAAAATTCAATTATTTTCATAAATTACAATATTCATCCCAAGAATTCAATTATTTTCAAAAGTAATAAAATTCTTCGAAGAAATTTAATTATTTTTATAAATAGAAAAATTTTTCGCCCAAGAATAAATTATTTTGATAAATATCAAAATTCTTCTCAAGAATTCAATTATTGTCAAAAATTGTAATTAAATTCTTGTCAAAATTTCAATTCTTTAATAACAAAATTTAATAAAATACCTACTTTGTACGAATTCATTTATTTTTATAAATAGCAAAATTTTTCGTCAAAAATTTAAATAAAATTCATTGCAACATTACAATTATTTTTAAAAGTTTTTCGCAATTCAATTTTGTTTAAAGATTTATTATTTTCATAAAATTTATCAACAGATTTAATTATAGAAAAAACTTGTTGATAAAATTCTATGAAAAAATTCAATTATTTTCATAAATAATAAAATTTCATTTACGAATTCAATTATTTTCATCGCAGAATTTCAAATATTTTTAATACAATTTTAAATAAATTCCTTGAAAAATGCTGTTATTATTAAAAATTTTATTAAAACTTAAGAAAAAATTCAATTTTAAGAAATTATTTAATTATTCAATAAAACAATAAAATTCGTTGCAATAATTCAATTATTTTCATAAATAACATTTAATTCATCGCAGAAAATCAATTATTTTCAAAAATTTTTAAGTAATTTTGCAAAAGAATTTAATATTATCTTGATAACCAAAAAAATTATTCTCCCCATAAAATCAATTTTTTTTAACGACTTTTAATGAAATTCTTTTCCAAAATTCAATTATTTTGATAAAAATCAAAATTCTTTTCAAGAATTCAATTATGGTCAAAAATTGTAATTAAATTCTTGTCAAAATTTCAATACTTTAAACAAAATTTAATAAAATACTTTTCACGAATTCATTTATTTTTATAATTAGCAAAATGTTTCGCCAAAAATTCAATTATTTTCAAAAATTTAAATAAAATTCTTTGCAACATTTCAATTATTTTTAAAAGTTTTTCGCAATTCAATGTTTTTAAATATTTACTATTATCATAAAATTTATCAACAGATTTAATTATAGAAAAAACTTGTTGATAAAATTCTATGAAAAGATTCAATTATTTTCATAAATAATAAAATTTCATTTACCAATTCAATTATTTTCATCGCAGAATTTCAAATATTTTTCATACAAAATTTTGAAATTACAAAATTCCTTGAAAAATGCAATTATTATTAAAAATTTTATTAAAACTTGAGCAAAGAATTCAATTTTAAGAAACATTCAATTATTCAATAAAACAATAAAATTCATTGCAATAATTCAAATATTTTCATAAATAATTTTTAATTCGTCGCAGAAAATCAATTATTTTCAAAAATTTTTAAATAATTTTGCAAAAAAATTCAATTAGCTTGATAAACAACAAAATCGCATAAATTCTTCCCTTAAAATCAATTGTTTTAAGGAATTTTAATAAAATTCTTCTCCAAAATCCAATTATTTTGATAAATATCAATATTCATCACAAGAATTCAATTCTTTAGAAAAGTAATAAAACACTTTGCAGAAATTAAATTATTTTAAAATTTTTTCAAAAATTCTCGTCAAGAATTAAATTATCTTTATAAACAGACAGGAAAATTCTTCTCAAGAATTAAATTATTGTCAAATATTTTTTTAAAAATTCTTCTTAAGAAGTCAATCATTTTCAAAAATTTTAATAAAATTCTTCTCATGAATTCAATTGTTTTCATAAATTATTATTTAAATTCTTCTCAGGAATTCAAACATTTTTAAAAAATTTAATAAAATTCTTCAAAAAGTTTTCAATTATTTTCAAAAATTGTTATAAAGTTCTTTAATATAATAAATTTCATTAAAATTTTAATTAAATTCCTTAAAAGAAATTAAATATTTTCAAAAGTTGTTAATAAAATTCTTCATAAAAATTAAATTTTAAGAAACATTCAATATTATTTATTTTTGTATTTAAATAATTGATTTCTCGTAGAATTAAATTATTGTTTTTCGTACTTTTAACTAACAATTCTGCAGAATTAATTTTTTTTTTGAAAAAGTTTAATTTAATAATAATTGACGTTATTGATTTAAAGTAGAATTTTAGAATTAAAAATTCTAGAAAATGTCAATTGAATTGAAATGATAGATGATACAAATAATTTTGAAGAAATATTACAGTAACAATATTCTTATAATAATAAACTAATGATTTTGTCAGTCTGGCATTTTTAATTATTATAAAACATAAAGAAATGGATCACTCCGAGTCGAAGACTCGGAGTGATCGATTTCTTCATGTTTTATAACAATTTTTTATAATTTGCTTAATATCAAAAAGGTTTGAATTTGAAATTTTTGAATATCTTAATTCCAATGAAAAAAAATGATTAAATATTTATTTTAAATAAAACTATTAATGTTTTCGAATAATTTGACTTTTGAAAAAATTTGTACCTAAATCAATTTAATAAAACATTT